ACTTATTTGTTTTAAATCTCGGTTGTTGTGATCAAATATTTTCAAAATGGCGTAAAAGTAAACAGTGACTCAATTTTTACAAGTACACAGTGGCTCATGAGCCACTGTGTACCTATGAGCCACTGTGTACCTTCTCAATTTCAATACTTTTGTAACTTATGCAAATTCAATATTTTTGTAACTTTTAAATTTTGTTATTTTATTTATAGAATGCCACGGAAAAAGACCGCCAGAAAAATAGGGAACACTTCGCATGAAAAAATTAAAGAAGGCTTGCAGTTTATAAGAAGGGGAGAATCTATAAGAAAAGCATCAAAAAGAGTTAATGTACCGTTTGCTACACTTAAAAGGTATTATTGGAAGACTAAGAACTGTGAGTCACTTGATGAATTGTTACCCTCGGAGTTAGAACCTAACTATTCGGTCAATAAAATATTCACAGATAGCCAAGAGATTGCACTTAAAAACTATTACTCGCATTGTGCTCTTTTGTTTTATGGATTGACCGCCAAAGAAAGTCGAAAAGTAGCATATCAGTGTGCTAAAATTAATAATATAAAAATACCTGCCTCTTGGGAGACGACGCAAATGGCTGGCAAGGATTGGTTAATTTCATTTAGACGCAGACATAATATCACATTAAAAAAGCCTGAACCATGCAGCCTCAGTAGGGCAACAGCTTTCAATCAAAGCAATGTCGGGAAATTTTACGACAATTTAGAAGATCTTATTTCACGAAACAGTGCTTTCTCTGATGGAACCAGAATATTTAATCTGGACGAAACATCTACGACGACGGTACAAAAACCACAAAAAGTGCTAGCCCCAACAGGTAGACAAGTCATTGGTAAGGTGACTAGCGGAGAAAGAGGGACATTAGTTACGACTTGCTGTATCGTGAGTGCCAGTGGAAATTTCTTGCCACCGGTCATGGTCTTTCCTAGAAAGAATTTTAAAGATCACATGATTAAAAATACACCACCGGGAACTCTCGGATTGGCTACACCTACCGGATGGATGAATTCGTCGATATTTCCAGAGGTTATGAAACATTTCGTTAAACATACAAATGCTTCGAAAGAAAATCCATGCATTTTAATCATGGATAACCATGAATCACATTTAAGTCTAGAAGCTCTCGATTGCGCCAAAAATGCGGGAGTGCATATTTTGACTCTTCATCCTCACACATCTGCAAAGTTGCAGCCCCTAGACGTTGGTATCTATGGTCCATTCAAGACATATTACAACGCTGCCATTGACTCCTGGCTGTTGCGAAATCCGGGTAAACCCGTTACAATTTATGATTTAGGCGAAATAATCGGATCTGCCTTTCAAAAGGCAATGACGCCAAGAAATATAACAAACGCCTTTGCAAAGTGTGGTATTTATCCATTCGACCGACACATTTTCACAGAAGAAGACTTTCTTCCTAGTTCGGTAACTGATCGTCCTTGTCCAGAAGATCTACAGGGTAAAGGTAATTCAACACCAGACTCTATAAGTATTCTCGAAGAGTGTGGTCTCGAAGCTCTTGTAGAAGCACCTGAATCAAATGTTATTACGCAACCTGATTTAAATATGTCACCTCCCATTAAAAGTCCTGAAAAAGTCGGTTTAAACATAGCTGATGATGCAAAAGAAATATCTGAACCAATTTTTGATCAGTCTGCTCACTTTTCTGGACAATCCACATCTCAGAATCAATCGGTCAATTCTCCAGATTCTACTAATAGAAACACACCACTAAAGTCAGCCAAAGAACTGTCTTTCAAATCGCCTTTTGATTTTCGAAATCCTATAAAAGCTGGTCCAAGAAAAACTAACAGGAAACGAAGGAAGCCTGGACGTAGTCTAATACTTACCGACACGCCAGAGAAAACTTTGATAGAGCAAGAAAAAAATGCGGTTAAAAGAAAGACCGAGGCAAAGAAAAGTAAAATTATACGCACGATATTAGATAGCGACGACGAAAAAGAAAGCCTTGATGAAGTTCAATTTGCAGAATCCGATGATGACGATGGATGGCTTGAATCACCAGAAGAGGATCAAGATGGTAATGTGAATATTCTAACAGAAAAAGACCTAAAGAATCCATTACCTCATCCACCCAAGGAAGGAGAATATGTTATAGTTGAATTGACAACTAAAAAGCAGAGGTCGTTATACAGTGTGTCCGGGCTTGTAGTGATCAAACTTTAAGGGCAAAATCTAGGGACAATTTTATCGATAAAAATACTTCAAATTTGGGGCCTGACCAATTTCTCGAAAAATTACATCGATTTAAGTTTTTAATTTTTAGTTTACACCTCTTCTTTAAAAAACAAGTGAAAGCGTGGGTAGCTTAACATTAATAGGCAAATATTTTATATCATGCGATAGCCAATAAAATTATCTATTAGTTGAAGAAGAAAGCAGACACAAGTTTCATACATTTTATAGGAGTAAGAATGGATTGAATTAGAAAAATACATTACTTTTTTCACTTCTTTTTCAGTTATTTTCCAACACAAGGAAAACCAGGTCGTTAAAGTATGTTTTATTTGCATTGTATTTTTAGTATTTGAGCTATTCTACAAAACGAATGTAAATTTATTAGTCTACGTCTATTAGTTTCGACGTAATTGTTGAACAAAGATACCCCTTCCCAGCGGTTTCCATAGTAATCGGAATAGGTTGTGTGATTCTTTCAGGCAGTGCATTTTCGCATGTCGCGTGCGCTATGGAAACCGCTGGGAAGGGGTATCTTTGTTCAACAATTACGTCGAAACTAATAGACGTAGACTAATAAATTTACATTCGTTTTGTAGAATAGCTCAAATACTAATAATACAATGCAAATAAAACATACCTTAACGACCCGGTTTTTCTTGTGTTGGAAAATAACTGAAAAATAAGTGAAAAAAGTAATGTATTTTTCTAATTCAATCCATTCTTACTCCCATAATATGTATGAAATTTGTGTCTCTTTTCTTCTTCTACTAATAGATAATTTTATTGGCTATCGCATGATATAAAATATTTGCCTATTAATGTTAAGCTACCCACGCTTTCACTTGTTTTTTAAAGAAGAGGTGTAAACTAAAAATTAAAAACTTAAATCAATGTAAGTTTTCGAGAAATGGGTCAAGCCCCAAATTTGAAGTATTTTCATCGATAAAATTGTTCATAGATTACGCCTTTAAAGTTTGATCACTACATGCCCGGACACACTGTATATTGGGAAGGTAATAGAAGAAAGAAACAATGAGCTTGAATACTACGTATCATTTTTGAAACGCAAGTCTGGTACTTATAAGTTCCATATGCCTGCTAAACCTGATCTTTCCCTTGTGAAGGAGAATGATTTAAAATATATTCTTCCAAAGCCTACATTAGTTGGTACGTCTTCTAGACCATTCTACAATTTCTCGATTGATTTTACTCGTCTTATCATTTATTAGAAATAGTACAAATGATTGTTGTTTTAATAATGTTATGTTGTTTTTCATAAACCATAATGTTACCCTAATGGTCATTGTTATTGTTGATTGCTTAAAACATAGTATTTACTAAGTGTAACAGATGTTAATATATCATTGTATATGATATTATTTTGAATAATTTTGATTTTAATATGTTAGTTACATAGGTTGTTAATTGATAAAAAGACTAAAATTGTTACCGAAGAGACTTAAATTACTTAAGATCTTATTATTTAGCAATAAAAGTCCTAAGAGTCGTGTTGATTATAATAAAAATAGATTGTAACAGTTTCATTGTTATTGTTGATTGCTTAAAACATAGTATTACTAAGTGTAACAGATGTTAATATATCATTGTATATGATATTATTTTGAATAATTTTGATTTTAATATGTTAGTTACATAGGTTGTTAATTGATAAAAAGACTAAAATTGTTAACGAAGAGACTTAAATTGCTTAAGATCTTATTATTTAGCAATAAAAGTCCTAAGAGTCGTGTTGATTATAATAAAAATAGCTTGTAACAGTTTCATTGTTATTGTTGATTGCTTAAAACATAGTATTTACTAAGTGTAACAGATGTTAATATATCATTGTATATGATATTATTTTGAATAATTTTGATTTTAATATGTTAGTTACATAGGTTGTTAATTGATAAAAAGACTAAAATTGTTAACGAAGAGACTTAAATTACTTAAGATCTTATTATTTAGTAATAAAAGTCCTAAGAGTCGTGTTGATTATAATAAAAATAGCTTGTAACAGTTTTGTTATTATTTCTAATAAAAAGAATTACGTGGAATGGGCATTATCTTTTCTTATAAATACCGCCGAGACCCCGTGTACCACTAGAGCCACTGTGTACCACAACAGTGAGTCAGTGTGTACACCTAGTAGTCTACAGTGGCTCAATTATCATTTTTTTGTTTTAGGTTCCTACTTTGACATAAGTAGTAAATAATGTAGAATCATGAGTGCTCAGTTACAGTTCAATAGTGTATCTAAAATGTGAGCAAATTTTAGGCCAATATTAAAGCGTTATCTATTTTTATTAAGCTTCGAAAAAAAAGTGAGTCACTGTTGCCTCCCTGACCCTATTTGTATTTAATATCCAATTTGTGAGTGAGTATGTGTACGAATCTAACACGTGTAATATAGTAATCGACGAACTACTATCGTATGTGCAAAATAAAATTTCGATAGTGGATGAAGATACATTAGTGCGGATTTGTACTACGTCGTTTTCGAGTGAGGAAATTAAAAACTCGAAATCCCTGCTCTTCGAGTCCATTTCTACAGACAAAATAAAAATAAAAAGGAAGAATAAAGGCAAGGAGGGAAGAGACATTATCGACATTATAAACTTGTTTAAATCAACTGAACCTGATGTGATACCTATTTTTGTTGCTCGTCAGCTCGAAAAGTTACCGCCGATTTTGTTTGACCACCTGGACTGTACGAAACTATTGAAGGACTTGCTTAAAGTACAAAACGAATTGGATTTCATTAAATCTAATTACGTGACACAAGATCAGTTAACTAACTGTAAAGATGAACTGCTCCGAGATATGAAGAACGAGTCGTTATTGCCGATTACTGCACGGAATGTGAATATAAATCGTGGTGCATGGATCTGTGACAGTAGCCCTATGGGTCTTTCGCATCTGGATAATAGTTCATCCCTAAATAAGTCATTCGACAACAACGGTGGAAATAACTCAGATAATTGCAACGGTTTGCTAGAATACAGAGAAAAATTTTTTCTTCCGGACTTATGGCTCAATTTTATTGAGGTCAGAAAAGTATCACGTGACATTGTTGGAAGTTTGTCAGCCAGGTTTTGTTCATAGATGCACTTGAGAACGTCCGCTTCAGCCATGGAACAGGGCACGCCAATAATAATAATGCGCGGTTTGCGTTTGTTGGTTTCGTCGACAGTGAGACCCGAGTTAACCAGGTTGACCGAACTCTTGAGCTTTTCCATATCCTGTTTAGTTTCGGTGCTAATAATGACTCCTCCGTTTCTAGTTTTGCGGACACTTCGAACTTTTAACTTCATTTCTTCAGGGCAGATAATATTTTGTACCAGTGTCTTGGTGTCGTCACTTGTTTTTGATGCGTCATTAGGGAAAATTGCGACGGAGCTGAAGGGGTTTGGGCGAATGAAATTGTTTGACCCCTTCTTTACCATGTCAGCAAAGGAGGTACTTGCTGGCTGATGTTTCGTGCAAGCTTCCACGGACTGCTTCATCTCAAGAAGGCAGTCCGTTAGGTCTCGTTCTTTCTTCAGCTGTTGAATTGCAGAATGTGTTTCTATAGCTTTTTGCTTTAAGGACTGATACTTAACAGCCATTTGCGCGACTCCATGTCCAACTTTTCGGCAAATGTTGTTTATTCTTAATTTTTGGTCTGAGTTTAATTTTCCTTCACTAGCGATGTGGCATACCTCATTCAAATGTTGCTCGATTGCACTCATCCAGCCCTGCAGGTCTGACGTAGAGATGACTACAGGAGCGTCCCCTTGGTCCTGGGATACATTCTGGGGTGTTGACGGTGGTTGAGGGGAGCGGCGCGTAATTCCGCTCCGGCTGAAGGGGCTGCTTTCTGCTGACATTTTATTAGTATGTGCGAACACTAGCCACTAGTAAAATTGTCATTATAGTNTCTCGGTGCTTAATACATCGAACAAGGCCAGGAGTAATCCAAGGTTTAATATTATGATATTTGCGATTTACTGTGACTCTAATAGTGTTACGTGAAATTGCCTGCTGTACACTTTTTATTAAAAATGATAGCGACTCATTTGCGTCAGCAGTTTTGTAAACTCGGTTGAAGTCAATGTTACGTAAGTCACGTTCGAGATTGTTTATGTTTATTTTGGATTTAGTACGTGCGGGTTTTTGCCTTTTCAGCGATAAATTGAGGGTTAGTAGGACAGCGTGATGGTCCGTAATTGTAGAATTTGTAACAAGTGTAATACACGGAAGGCTTGATTTTAACATCATATGATCTAGGCATGAGCCGCTTTGGTGTGTAGCCAAAGTGTGCGCCGGTTGGAATCCATGGTATGAGCATAGGTTAAGGTAATCCTGTGTTCCTACATCCTGATGTCCGGGCTCAATGTTAATATTTATATCGCCTGTTATTACAGTGTTTTTAAAAGATGTTAAAGTTTGAAGAATCTGGTTCAAGGAGTTGTGGAAATAATCTAAATTTCTAACAGATGGAGACCTGTATAACGCAATAATAGCTGTGTCGCTTCCAATTTTGATTATTAAGCAATTGCATTCTTGTAATATACGTTCTTCAACTGAGACTTTTAGTGATTCTCTAGCATACACTATCACGCCGTCGTTTTGGTTATGGTTAGTTCTTGTATAATACATACTGTATCCTGGCAATTCTGGGAGATTATTATGTCTATTTTGTAACCAACATTCAGTTAAAACTATTATATCACAATAAAAGTTGAGCCTATGGAGGAAGATCTTAAAGCTATCTATATTTTTATAAATACTGCGAATGTTTTGGGTTAGTATTGTTAGTGAATTTGGGTAAACAGAGATACATTGTCGGCACTCCTCAACATCGCACGACCTTGACTCGGATACAGATAATTCATCCATTTCGTTTAGTATATTTACATCCATATTTCTAACTTTTTATACTATGTGTAGGTCTAAAAATAAACAAATTATGTGGCGCTCTTAGGCGCCTTCATAGTCTATAGAATTTATGTACCTGTTTTCGGCCGCTTTTCTTGCCGGGCACTCTGTGTCACCTGTCTTGTGGCCGCAGGGTTTCTTGAAACGTAGACAGGTCGCACATTTAGGCGAGTCCGCTTTCTTCGAGCACTCCTGGATTGAGTGGCCATCTTCCCCGCAGTGGCCGCAGGTCGGAGAGGCGGCTTTGCACGTTTTCGCCGCATGTCCATATTGCTGGCACTTGAAGCATCTTGTTACAAGTGTAAAGTCTCTAACTGGGCATGATGTCCAGTTAATGAAAAGTCTGTCCTGTGAGATTAGAGCTTTACGAATGACGGCTGGTACTTCTATTACATAATTTGTGTTTTCCAAATTTTTTCTTCCGGACTTATGGCTCAATTTTATTGAGGTCAGAAAAGTATCACGTGACATTGTTGGAAGTTTGTCAGCCAGGTTTTGTTCATAGATGCACTTGAGAACGTCCGCTTCAGCCATGGAACAGGGCACGCCAATAATAATAATGCGCGGTTTGCGTTTGTTGGTTTCGTCGACAGTGAGACCCGAGTTAACCAGGTTGACCGAACTCTTGAGCTTTTCCATATCCTGTTTAGTTTCGGTGCTAATAATGACTCCTCCGTTTCTAGTTTTGCGGACACTTCGAACTTTTAACTTCATTTCTTCAGGGCAGATAATATTTTGTACCAGTGTCTTGGTGTCGTCACTTGTTTTTGATGCGTCATTAGGGAAAATTGCGACGGAGCTGAAGGGGTTTGGGCGAATGAAATTGTTTGACCCCTTCTTTACCATGTCAGCAAAGGAGGTACTTGCTGGCTGATGTTTCGTGCAAGCTTCCACGGACTGCTTCATCTCAAGAAGGCAGTCCGTTAGGTCTCGTTCTTTCTTCAGCTGTTGAATTGCAGAATGTGTTTCTATAGCTTTTTGCTTTAAGGACTGATACTTAACAGCCATTTGCGCGACTCCATGTCCAACTTTTCGGCAAATGTTGTTTATTCTTAATTTTTGGTCTGAGTTTAATTTTCCTTCACTAGCGATGTGGCATACCTCATTCAAATGTTGCTCGATTGCACTCATCCAGCCCTGCAGGTCTGACGTAGAGATGACTACAGGAGCGTCCCCTTGGTCCTGGGATACATTCTGGGGTGTTGACGGTGGTTGAGGGGAGCGGCGCGTAATTCCGCTCCGGCTGAAGGGGCTGCTTTCTGCTGACATTTTATTAGTATGTGCGAACACTAGCCACTAGTAAAATTGTCATTATAGTGAAACTATTCGCTGATTGAGCATAGCACAGTGAGTCACTATACTAGGTCACTATTTAAAATATTGTTAATTTATGAATATCGAGAAATGCGCGATGTGCACGTCTGCACTCGTCGAAAGTCCAAACGTCAGTCTGATCTATGATTTCCAAATTAGAAAAAAATCACAAAATTAAATGTTACTGTTTCTAGGCCCTGTTGTCTGGCAAAAGTTTTAATAGATTTTGTGATCCAGTCACGCAGCGAATAAGTTACTTACAAAAAAGAAGTAAGTACCTAGCGAAGCAATCACGAAATTGAACTGAAACCAATTTTACTTTGTAATGCTGAAACTACAATCACTATCTATTAGATAAACTTTTTAGAAAAAGAGTTTTTCTATTTGGAAATCTGAAATCAGTGGCTAAATTATTAATTTTAAAAATATAGACCGTAGTCTGTACCTTGGACATGCAATAAAATTAACTTAAATTCAAGAAACCTGAAAACTTGCGAAATAAATTCAGATGCTTGCATCCCAAGACGTCCATGTTTAATTTACTACGTCACCTAATTAGTATACCAGCTACTTAACTAAGTATACACTTAGTAAATTAACAGCATCATGAATGAAGCATCTGTAAATAGTTTTATTGCATTTAGTCTTCCAGTTAGGAATAAAATGAGCTTAGGTAAAAGAAGAGATTATAAAGAGAAAAAGAACTCAAAACAAGGAAGCAAGTAAAAAGCTAGCAGTTGTTTTTTATACAGAACAAGGCAGTGTTGGTTTTTTGTACAGAACAAAGCAGTGGGGAGATGCTATCTAGGGTGAAGCAAATCTATCTATATAAATAAAAATGAATTGATGTTCGTTCGTTTTCGATTGTTGCTCTGAAAAATCATCTTGCTTAGTATATTTTACGCTGTACATCAAATAAAATTAGTCCATTGTTGGCGGCAAAATGAACCCATAAACGCGTGTTTCTATGCCAATGGTTAAGGGTCAACTACACATGACTGAAATATATATTTTTTTAAGATTATTAGTAATTTCCCGTTAGCCCCTCGTACTAAGCTAAATGCTTGTATCACGAATGAGCTCACCACAAGAGTCGGCTATCGTGGCTTCGATTATTCAAAATTACGTACAATTGAAATATGAAATTGTTACGCACTTTTTAACTCCAATAGACTCCAATACTGTATTATCTTATATTCTCTGGTAATAACGTAAAAACCCACACGAATTCACGTTTCTCAATATTCTTCCCATTTGAAATATTGCTACTAAAAACATATTTTTCATGTATTTTCCCCACAATTTTCAAGAGAAACTGCCTAAATGGCAATAAAGCCTGATTTACGACGTATTAAAGTTGTTCAAAATAAGGTTTTCTATAGAATAAGATTACTTCTTTTGAGAACTAACAGACTAAAATTGCTTGTATTAACAAATAACTACGAGAATTATTAATCCCCAGAGTTCTAGTGCGATACTCCAAACTAAATAGAAGGTCTTAAGTGCCGACCACGAGCCGGAAGACGTAGCGTGGGCAGGCCTCCCACTAGGTGGACCGACGATCTGGTGAAAGTCGCGGGAGGTGCCTGGATGCGAGCGGCGCAGGACCGGTCTTTGTGGAAATGCTTGGGGGAGGCCTTTGTTCAGCAGTGGACGTCTTTCGGCTGAAACGAACGAACGAACGAAAAAGAAGGTCTATTAGATGATAAGATCATCTCTAAGAATGAGAGCTGGATACAACTCTCTGGATCTGGGTCATTCTACGAGTATGATAATAGAATGATACTCAAGTAAGAATGTAACACCCGTATTCACAAACGATGCCTGCTTAAGAGAAGCAGCAAATCGAACGCACAGCGTTGAATAGAGCTCTGTGATTGGTTCGTGTGTCACCCTGTACGTCCACGTGCACTGTGAGACCTCATAGTAAAGTTTGTAAATACGGGCGTTATATTCATAAACTCATAAAAAAAATTAATTTTTGCAAGTAGGCTTATAAAAAGCACTTTTACACGTCCTAGTAAATTTGATTTTATCAAGCAGTGGTAGAGTTACCTCTACCACTGCTTGATTAAATCAAATTTTAAGGTTCAACCAATCTTAGTGCTAAGTTTATGCTTTGAATCAACTTTTGAATCTCTATGAGAGCTTGACACTGAATTCAGCCTTGCTTGGGCTTCGTTTCAGCATCAACATCCACTGTCACTATTTATAAACCTATATTGTGTCCATTGATGTGTATTTTTAAGTAAATTTCGATGCATCGTCAATTTCGGTGCTAAAGCCAAACTGGGCAAGGCTCCAGCTCCGGTATTCATTAAACATGAGCGTAACTTCATTAACTGGGTGAAGCTGGAAGCTAATTTTATTAATTTATTCACCGGCGATCGGGCCTTCGCTAAATCTCGAACACTATCATAATATTTAAGCCAATCCAGGCAACTTAAACAGACTTTTTATTTCTTTTGATCAAGTAAAAAGTTACGCTTAGATTTTCAGCCACGTTTCGAATTCTAACTTTTTCGTGATTATGAAGTTTTTTTTTTAAATATTGCAGTTAAATTTATCCTTTTTGCCTAATTTCATATACAATACATATTATAGTATACTCGTGTGTTATTCTCCGCTCCTTATTCTCGCGTTTGCTCTCGTGTAATATTATTCTATTAATCATGTTTTTTGGTATATGTGGGAATTAAAAAACAAGCTGCAAAAGCAATAACAGCTGCATAACGGAACTAAAAAGAGCACTGTACCTACTACAAGCCTGTAGTGTGTTAATAAAACAGCTGTTCGCTACTACACTAATCATCTTTAAAACGGTCAAAAACAATTGACAAAGCATTCGCCAAACGTAAACACAGCAACAAAAATTCAACAGAAATTCTCAATTCAAAAGACAGGAAAAGGTACAAGAATCAGAGGTCCGAATAAACGCCTCAAATTGGAAAATATGCAGGAAGCAATATTTAAGGCAAAAGAAACACGTTCCAGGTGGGACTGTAATTAAAAGAATATTCCCGAAGGTTTCACCAGATTGGATCCGTGCGAAATATTTCCGATTGCAAAAATCGCGTCTTTTTTGATGGTACACAATGGCAAAAGTAATAGTAGGCTCGTTACACCATCCACATTTCAGCCACAGGACGTCCACTGAATAACGTGTAAAACGCTTTTCTCCTACCTTTATGAGGTCGTCTGTCCATCGCATATATTTTCTCTATAGCTATCGAGCTACATAGCTGCAACAAAATGTTTAAATTAATTCAAAATACCTACATAGTTCTAATTAAGATTGGTGCCAATGTTAGTACCAATTAAACATATTGGCATACTTGTGCTACGGTACATAAATACTGTGGCATCTCAGGTAGTTAAGTATAATAAGAGTGATTTTACTACAAAAATATCGAGTCTGATGTTCCATGTATACTTCTGATGCCTAAAAGGCCATTGAGATTGATCTAAATGGTCAGTGTGGCTACTGTGTAAATCTGACTTAGATGAAATACTCGTAGCACTGTTTACATTTTGCAAAAATGGTCTGTATATCCATCCATCGCCTTTTCCAATTTCCAACCTAGAGTTTCATAGACCAGATTTTTCGACTATACCTATCGATATAATTTCTGATTCTACCGAAAATACTTAGTATGCCTACCCTTACTGTTCTTTTTACCAAAGTTCTCTAAGTATTATCTAAGTGGGTAATGTTATTATTTTAGTCTGATATTTAGTCAGTTTCAGTTTTATCCAAACATACAGGTAGGTATAATAGGTCATACTATGTAGTTCCAAGCCGCGATCGAAAGTGGTAAATAAAGCTAAAGAAAAATTAAATTAAATCATCGATCCATATTTTTCACGTCACTAATTACACAGCTTCAGCAGTGATATAACACATTCGTTTGCTCTCATAAATAAATACGTTATGAACCCAAGTTGGAATCGCCGGCTTATTTTATTTTAATATTACAGTTTATCTTTCCCGCGTAGGAATAAGTCAACAGACAAGCTTTTGATGTAACTAAAACAGATTACTCTATTTATTTTGCTTGTTGACTCCATGCCGTGGGCTGTACTATCACCAAATAAAGCCTACCTAACAAAAGTGCGTTGATTTGATGTAAATATAATGTTACAGTCAAAAATCAAAATCGGTCAAAACCTCTTTGACTAAAAAAATCAGTCAAAAATGGTTTCGACCAAGGACGTTCGTCAAAATCACTTGAGTGAGTTATAAGTTTTGACTGTAACATACATTTAATAAGTACAGTCAATGAAATATCAGACTGTACTTATATTTTCAAAGCAAAATAGCATCAATTTCAACTATTTAAGGTGCCACAGTGTTTAATTTTACCTCTTTAGGGGTTGAATTTTGCATTTGCAATTTGATTAAACCTGCAAATTAATACAAATTACATACCTATTAATTTAATTGTATACCTTGTCAAAGTAATAAACGACAACGAAAGTATCTTCTTCGCCACATTTGTTGGTATGAACGGGACTATTCGCACCTCTCGTCACCACCACTGCAACTCCTGTGTAGCCATCATCTACAGCTTGACCGCCATAAAAACCCAACCAATGAAGGTCAAGTTTGTCCCGGGGATAAGTTAAACAGTCATTGGACTCGCAACGAAATTAATCAGAAGAACATAGGAGTTCGAAATTAAGGTTCGACTTCGAGGTTTAGTATATGAACGTGAAAATCTAGAAACCATCTCAGTAAACACTGAAACAAAAAGCTTGCATACAGTTCACAGCACACGAAATGTGGAATTTACTCAAACAATTCTAAACTATATTACCTTATGGTTTCAATTCAAGCGACGAAAATTACCATTTGTACCTACTAAGTTAATTTGCTGACTGTTACATTTCATCAGTAAGTTCAGAAATACTCGCTCATTATAACCGCCCATTGTTCCTTTTTCCTAACAAAGTCTAATTCCTGCATAATTATTCAAAATAAATGCTGTTCAAATAAGAATTCTATTACAATGACGTATTAGCATACTATTGTAATGCTAGGTAAATACAGTAGGCTCTCTACAAACTAGGCATACCTGCGTAGGTAAAGCAAATCAAATCAAACATATTTATTAAATTTTTACCAGTATTCTG